CTGCATTTTAGAAAATGTCAGCACTCATGTCTTTTCCTTGGTATATTATTACTTGAAGTTAAACAGAAGTCCTCAAAACATAAAAAAAGTCAGTAATTAACAAAATCATGTAATGACCCAATGAGGTTAGTCCTAAAATGTTATCATGAGTAAATCTAAATAGTTATCATTTCATGTCAACAATGAAGTTACTTGTCTGGGTATTTTCTGCAGTGCTATCAGATTATCCTACTTTTCTAAAATGCAGTTAATTAAGATCAAAGTACAGAGTGTTCCATTTGATTTTCTCCAGATTTCACCTCTTAAAATTAGTTCTGAACAGTGGCATCTTTCATCAAATGAATGAGGCAAGGCTTTGAAAACCTTCATTTATCCTAAATGAACACTTTGGAGACATGATTATATATTATTCCCTATCATAAATGAGAGTGGACACCATGCCCTGCCTTGCCTTCTCAGTGGGGTCACTCTGTTTAAAGACTATGTTGAGAACTCTCAAGATAAGGTTCAAATAGTTTTTCACATGTGACAGAAAAGGAGGAGGGGTGGTTTGGAAAATAACCACCTCTCCTTTTAGGTGAATAGGAAAACAATTTCCTTATTATTAAAAGTTCTTTCAATTCAAACTAAAAGTACCTACATGTCATGACTCTCCCTACTGTCAATTTCTGAAACATTCCATCTCTGCTAGAAATGATACAGTCAGTGGAAGAGAATATTAGACTAACTGTCAGATATCTTTTGCTTTTTAAGTAGTTTATACCTCTATAATCCTCTAAGTCCTCCAAAAGTCTGTCTCCTGGATCCCTCAGGAAGAAAGTAGAAGGATGATGATAAATGCAAGAGAGAAACATGGTACACAGAACTGTGTTCTTCATTATCATTTATAATATTAAACCAATAGATGGTTGTTAAACCCTCTATTGAGCTAAAAAGAGATCACTATTAAAAGAGAATTTTCCCTTTCATGTCTAGATTATCAGCTAATACTGACACAGTATCATGAACCTTCTGAGTTTCCAGCATGCCAAAGTCTTGTCAGATCTAACTAAAGACCTGTGCTAACCAGCTGTCTCTACACTTAGATTCATTCTGTTCTGTCCAGAATGCAAGTCTCCAGTTTAATATAACCACCATGAACCTACATCATTCCATTCTAACACTAAAGCCTCCTGACTTGTCCCCATGATGACTAAATTTCTTTTTAAAATTCTACTATTTTTTTTTGCTAGATGTGGTGGCCTTGAATCCCAGCACTTGGGAGGCAGAGGCAGGTGGATCTTTGTGAGTTCAAGGCCAGCCTGGTTTACATAGTGAGTTCCAGGCCAGCTGGGGCTACAGAGAGACCCTGTCTCAAAAAAGAAAAAAAAAAGAGAGAGAGAGAAAATTCTATTATTTTTATGTGTGTGTGCATGTGTATGCATGCGTGTGTGAATGTATCTGTCATTTGAGCATGCCATGTGTGGGCCAGAGGGCAACTCTAGGGAATTAGTTCTCTCTTAACACCTTGTGGGTTGCAGGGATAGAACTCAGGTTGTCAAATCGGGCCCACAAGCATCTCTACCTGCTGAGGCATCTCACTGGTTCCCTAAACAACTACAACTACTAAACAACTACAACAACAACTTCTTCCTCCTCTTCCTCATTCTTCTTCTTCTTTTTCAGACAGGGTCTCCTTGTAGTCCCAGCTGGCCTGGAACTCACTATGTAGACCAGGATCTGCCTGCCTCTGCCTCCATCGTGCTGCGATTAAAGGCATGTACCACTACACCTGGTCCTAACTTTCTTTACTAGAGTATGTTTTCTTTCACAACATGTCAATAGATTCAGCTACAATTTTTTTTTGAATTAGGAGTCTTTATTCATTGCATTTCAATTTCTTCAATATTATCCTGCAGCAAATTACACTGAGTACAGCTTAATTACATATCATGTTAAGAAAACACCTAATCCATTGTTTGGGACATAGTTTGAGTACCAAAGTATAACATAGAAAGAACAATACTCCTTCATATTAACACTTTTCAAATTAGTCTACTTCCTAAAACATACCTCACTATATAGTGTGTTGATTTTTTGATCAATGCTTTGCCTTTCTTCCAATGCAAGTTCTTGTAATTGTTTTTCATCTTGTTTATTTAGACCTAGAACCGCAACAGGAATAATGGTAAATTCTTTTAAAGTTCTTATAAAGTATTAAATTACTACCTGATCTACGTCTACTAAGTTTTTTGTTTGTTTGAGACAGAGTCTCACTATATAGCCCAGGCTGGCCATGAGCTACTTATCTTCCTGTCTCAGCCTACTAAGTGTTAGGATTACAGATTGTGCCACCATTCTGGTTTTCTACTGTTTTATTTCTATTGGGAAGGCAAGAGATTATACAAAAAACCCAGTTAAGTATTTCCAATATGAAAAACAGTATGTTCTTACCCACATTTTTAAAGGATCGGAGGGCTGGCAAGATGGCTCAATGGGTAAAGGGGCTTGCCACCAAGTCTGACTACTTGAATTTGATCCCAGAGCCCACATGGTAGGAGAGAACTAGGTGTTAGACACATGGTTCCAGGCCTCAAGTGGGTCAATCTGGGAAAGATGGATGTACACCTACAATTTCAGTATGTGATGGGGCACTGCCAGTGTGTCATGGGGCACAAATGAGTGGGGTTAAACCCATACTTCAGCACTTCAGGGGGGCTTCCTGGCTCAGGGGTCATATGAACTAGTTCTAACTATGCATCATCTGTGCACAATTGTAATATCACTACTATGAATACACTGTACATATATTTCACAAATGAGAACCAGGCTGGTAATACTCTATAAACATCTCTGGAACCAAAGGAACGAGAAAAAGCTTTTTTGCAATCATACAGTTACTTCTGTGATCTCTTACTTTTAGGAAAACTATAAAATCCAATCAAGCTCAATTTTATTCTATCACTAAACATTTAACAACATATTATATCTTCTGTTTGGTGTTACAGGAGACATAGAAATGAGTAAGCCTCAGGCAAGGAACAGTAAAAAATAGGTTCATGGGTTGAGGTTAAGACAGTTATATAAAGGATCGTAGGATAAAATAGAGGAAAGTAACCATATTTGTTTTGCAGAGGAGATTGAAATCAAGGTAAGACATCAACAAGGGTAAAGACCTGGAAATGGGCAGCAAGAAATGGCCAATTGTTTATTTTGACTGGAAAGGAGAATATGCAAAGAGAATTAATGGGGTCATTCTGCAGGGGCTTTTAAATGTCAAACCTAGAAATCTCATTTATAAGCAACAGGAGCTATCAAAAGTCTGAGCAGGTACGTAATATAACTAAGCATGTATGTGGCCCAGAAGCATGGAGATGGGACTACAAGTTAGGGATTGACTGACTAGTCAGCTACGTCACAGACATAATGAAGATATAAATAAGTCAAAAGACTAGAAGGGAGAGGGCTGGAGAGATGGCTCAGCAGTTAAGAGCACTGACTGCTCTTGCAGAGGACCTGGGTTCAATTCCCAGCACCAACATGGTGGCTATGAACCATCCTTAATTCCAGTTCCAGGGGAATCCGAAGCACTCTTCTGACCTCCGTGGCACTGCACGACACAGGTGCACTCACATACATTCAGGCAATACACTCATACACAGAAAATGAATATAATAAATAAAATATTTTTAAAAAAAGAGTAGAAGGGAATGACTGCATGATAAACTACAGAGGTCAACCCTACTGGACTTTGAATCATCGTCCGGTGAATAAGAGCAGTGATTCTGGGGTCTCGTTCTTGGGTTCAAATCTGTGGCTAAATGACCTTTGACATTTAACCTTTCAGCTTCATTTATAAAATGGGGATAGTAACTTTTAATTTTTAAAATATTATTTTTATTTCATGTGTATGAGTGTATTGCCTACCATGTATGTGAGGTCACCTGTGTCATGCAATGCTGAGGAGGTCAGAAGAGGGCTTTGGATTCCCCTGGAACTGGAGTTAAGGATGGTTCATAGATGCCAAGTGGGTGCTGGGAATCAAACCCGGGTCCTCTGCAAGAGCAGTCAGTGCTCTTAACTGCTGAGCCATCTCTCCAGGCCCCAGGGATAGTAACTTTTACCTACATAAGTCTTTTATTAAAAATGTATTCATTTTTATTTTATGTGTATGAGTGTTTTGCTTGCATGTATGTAAGTACACCATGTGTGTAGTGCACGTGGAAGCTATAAAAAGGCATTGGATCTTCTGAAACTGGAGTTACAGGCAGTTGTTAGACATGTAGGTGCTGGGAACTGAACCCAGGTTCTCTGCAAGAGCATCCAGTGCTCTTAACCACTGAGCCATCTCTCCAGTCCCAAATATAAGACTTTTTTGACCATTCAAATGAGATATTTATAAAGCACTTACCTTAGTGCCTGGTACATAGTAAGACTTAGTAAATGCAGCTGACATTACTGTTACAGAGCAGAAGAAAAGAAAAACTCATAGAACCTTTGCAAATGATCCACTCCAAGTTGTAAATGTCACATATGTTATAGGAAGACTGAAAGAGGTTAGTTTACTTAGAAAGTATTTAATAAGATCCTACTAGAAGTAAGCAACTTCTTTAAAATTAATTCTTATAAATTTGAGTAGCATTATACAAAAGTGAAAAAATATGTTCATTTAGTGTACCTGAGGGTCTTGTGGTATCACTAATGGAAGACAGACCATGTGAGGCATTGGGCATCCAGGACTTTACAGGTATAAAGGATATGGCTTTGGCACTCCTTAACACTTCCAAAGATTAATGAAACAGGATGGTGTACAAACATAGAAATCAAAGGCAAGGCCAGATGTGGTGGCGCATGCATTAAATCCCAGCACTCAGGATACAAAGGCAGGTCAGACTGGTCTACATACTGAGTTCCAGGCTAGCTGGGGCTACAGGGAGACCCTGTCTCAAAGAAGACAAAAGCAAAGACTCAAAGCCAATAGCAAGATCTAGACAAATGCCGAATTCATTATTTTCAATTTTCTATATAGGTTAGAAATTTTTTCGTAAGAGAAAAAAATGAAGGTGATACAAAATTATGAAACACTACAACTTAAAATTATAATAAAAAATAAAAACAAACATCATATATCAAAGACTTAAATGTAAGAACCGGAAATTTAAAATTATAAGAAAACACAGATGTAAACTAAGCTTTAGGTGACCTTGAATTAAGCAACAGGTTTGGATTTTTTTTTTTTTTAAGATGACACATGAAGCCAGAAAACTGCCTAGAACATCACTCACACATTCAACATGGGACATTCAATACCCATCACCATCTTAACAGGCTGCAACACTGTCACCTGCCCTATAAATTACATGTTGAAACTGGTGTTCATTCTTACCCTTCCTTGGATTTGCTTAGACTGTTCCTTTGACCTAAGATGTCCTTTCTTCTTTTATCAATACAGAATCCAATCTTGAAAGACTAACCCAATTATTTCTGAAAGGATTAATTTCTCCCTTCTCTGAGCCACCACACTGTTTCTCTAAGGCTAGCATTTCCACCACATTGCTTTCACGTATATGAAGTATGTCTCCCAATAGAAGTCCTTAGTGTATGAATAGACTGCTAAATTAATGACTGGATTATCTTACCAAACTCCTTCATTTTAACCTCTCTATGAAATCAAAAAGTTACATTTACATACTTCTTTTTTGAAATCCTTGCGTGACACTCCAGTTACATACATATTAATATTTAGATTTAATAGTTAATCCTTTATGTGATACTAGGGACTAATATCCTATTCTAGAGCTGGAAAATCTGTGGAATTGATTTTCTTAAATAGTTGTTTGGGAGAGGGTTTTTTAATATAGCCCTGCTAGCCTGGAATTTGCTATATAGATCAGGCTGACCTGCCTCTGACTCCTGAGTACTGGGATTACAGATATAAGCCACTATACCCAGCCTGGAATTATTGTTTTGAATAATTGGTTGGTCGTATGTAAACTTCTGGAGAATACTGGCATGTAAACTTTTGCCTTGTCTGGTTTATTCAGTGTTTAAAGGACAGTGAAGACACTTAGATTTATTATATGATAATAGTAACTACAAATAATTCTATGGTTCCAAGCAATCTGTTAACTGTCAAGGAAAATACATATAGCCATTAAACATACAAATTCTAAAGGCTAGAGGTAAGCTTAGTAGCAGACTGCTTGCATGCACAAAGAACTAGATTCAATTCTCAGCTGTGCAAAATAATAAATAAATTCTAATATTCTTAAACTATACTAAGAATAAACATTAAAAGGCAACTTTAAAACAAATCATATAAGCTTCCACCATGTGATACCATCTGCCAGTAGGCCCTCACCAGACCCCGAGTAAAGTCCCATGTTCTTGGTCCTCCAGATCTGTGCACCAAAAAAACCCAACCAACCAACCAACAAAATCCACAAAACACTGGGGTGATGCATTCCCAGCACTCAGAAAGACAAAACAGGAGGACTGCTGCAAATTCCTGGCCCGCCAAAGCCACAGAGTAAGACCTTGTCAAAAGCAAAATGAAATAAACAAAAACAACAGCAACCAACTCTTTAAAAGAAAACAAACAAAACAAAACAAAAAGCCCAAGATATCCCAAATAAAATATAAAGCTTTCTTTGTGGCTCCCCAGGTGTGTGTAGAAGCATCAAGGAAGCTTGACTTAATCTGTCTCGTTTGATTTCTGAGCTCTCTCAGAAGCCTCTACATTTCTCTAGTAGTTATCATATCATCAATAATACTTAAATAAATAAATATTTTCACTCATACTAGACTATATTAGCCCTTTGATGAAACAGGAACTCTATATTCCTATCCATAGAATAACATCCAGACCCTAACCCTCTTAGCAAGGTAAACTGTAAGAGCCTGCTCTTTTAGCAGATCTATAGCAGCTGAAATCTGTCAAACACCAAGTACACAGTCTTGTGCTTACCAAGTATTGAGCTTGTTACCTGTAGGCTTTTTAAAAGACAGAGTTCAAAGTTTAAGTTAGAAAATTGGTCATCTTATAAACACATACTTATCTTTTACCTACTTTCACACATTGACTCTAATTCTTTAATTGCTTGTTCAGCCTCCTGAATTTCTTGGTAAATGGCTGCAAGTGGTGCCAACTCAGCATGCCTTCTGTTTAAGGACGTTCGGTCTCCTTCATTCACAGAGATCTCCTGCAAACACTGACCAAGTGCTTGGTACTCCTTATTTAAGTCTTCCAAGTATTTCTGTAGAGCTTTATGTTTCCAAAGCATCCTTGTATCTTGAGGAAAATATTTCCTGGACTGATTCTTATTTAACAGCTGATGGAGAATGTGATTCTTGCTTTGTTTAAAAACCCACAGCCTTGCGTCAAAACTTATCTGTCTAGATTGCTGACAATGGAGGTAGATGTGCCACTGGGGGTACGCATTAAAAGAGAGATTTCTAAAAAGCCAAACACACAGGTGACGACTCATCTCAGCATCTGAAATATAAGACACACAGTCTGAAAAAGGCAACTCTAAAGATATATGGCATAGTAAAGCCAGAAAGAGTTTCAAAGAAATCTTTAGTTCACTGACTCATGTGTCTCCAAAGACAGTCAATAACTGACAAATATAATTCTTGAAACCACTAAATAATAGTATTTTAAAACAAGTAAGGAGCTGATGAGATGGTCCATTGGGTGAAGGTGCCTGCACCCAAGCTTGAAAACCTGTTTGATCCTCAAGACCCACGTGGTAGAAGGAGAAAACTGATTCCTGCAAGTTGTCCTCTCACCTCCATGTAGTACATGTGTACTCATACACACACACACACACACACACACACACACACACACACAGAGAGAGAGAGAGAGAGACAACATAAATTAAAATGTAATTTAAAAAAATTTAAAAATAAGGGGGCCTGGAGAGATGGCTCAGCTGTTCAGAGCATGGCTGCTCTTGCAAAGGACCAGGGTTCAGTTCCCAGCACCCACATGGCAACTAACAACTGTCCTTAACTCCAGTTCTGGGGGATCTGACACCTCTTCTGGCCTCCATAGGCATTGCACACACAGTGCACTTAGATAGATGCAGGTAAATACCTATACACATTAAAAAAGCTTTTAAAATAAACAAGTGAAAAGAACAGTTTTCTACCAACTTAACATATACAATTAACCAAGACAAGTGAATAGCGGTATAACACATCAACAGAATAGGTTTTCTAGAAAATATACAGAATCTAGAATTGAGTGTATAAATAAGCACTTTATTTTTTTGGTCTTTTTGAGACAGTCTCCCTGTAGCCCCAGCTGGCCTGAAACTTGCTATGCAGACCAGGTTGGCCTTAAACTCACAGATATCCATCTCCCTCTGCCTCCCAAGTGCTAGGATTAAAGGTGTGTGCCACCGAGCCTGGCTTAAATAAACTAAAACTACAAAATAATCATACAAACTTTAAGTGGTTCATAGTTAAAGATTTCTGAAGTTCAAGGAAAATATTAACTATGGTCTATTACCTACAGTAATTGACTACTTATGGCAGGGTCTTGCTATGTTGCCCAGGATAGCTTCAAATGGACAAACTCTTGCTTCAGCCTCCCAAATGCTAGATTATAAATGTGAGCCAACAAGCCTGTATAAAACTTAAATAAGCAATTTAGTTTAATTTTAAAATTATTATTATTGTCATTACTATTTTGTGATGCTGCAGATTGACCCCCAGGGCCTTGCACATGCTAGGCAAGTACTTTAATTCTTTAATTTCAGGCATGCAGATGTCCAAGAACATCAGGTAAGTAATCACAACAATTCACTCACTGGATAGAGGCAGAGCTTGTATTACAATGCAGGTTGTCTATTCCAACAGTACTTCTCATCTCAATCCTGCAATCCCTTTTAAAGGAAGCTTCTCTTTTAGCTGAGGACCTAAAAGAAGAGATCTTTAATTTTTTTTTTTTGGACTTTTTGAGACAGGGTCTTCCTGTAGCCCCAGCTGGCCTGGAACTCACTATGTAGACCAGGCTGGCCTTGAACTCACAGAGATCCGCCTGCCTCTGCCTCCCTAGTGCTGGGATTAAAGGCGTGCGCCACCATGCCCGGCTGAGATCTTTAAATATTAACAGACACCAGGAGGTCTGGTGATAAAAGGACAATAATGATCTTTTTCTTCCTTTGGTCTTTTTGAGACAGGGTGTCCTTGTAGCCCCAGCAGGCCTGGAATTCACTATGTATACCAGGCTGGCCTCCAACGCACAGACATCCGCCTGCCTCTGCCTCCCCAGCGCTGGGATTTAAGGAATGCACCACCACACCTGGCAGCACATATTAGTTTCATAACAAAAATAGTTATTTTAAAAAATGACAGATTAGGGACTGGAGAGAAGGCTCAGCGGTTAAGAGCACTGACTGCTCTTGGTGGTGGTGGTTCGTGGTGGCTACGAACCATCCTTAACTCCAGTTCCAGGGGAATCTGGCACCCAAGTCTTTTGACCGCGGCATTGCATGACATGGGTGCACTCACATACATGCAGGCAATACACTCATACACATAAAATGAGAATACTAAATAAAAATAATTTTTAAAAAATGACAGATTAGTAAAAAATAATAAGAAATTAATTTTTTTTTAATTTAAAAATGTGGGAAAGATGACTCCGCAGTTAAAAGCACTGACTGCTCTTTCAGAGGACCTGGGCTGGAATCCCAGCACCCACATGGTGGCTTAGAGTTGTAACTCCAGTTCCAGGGTATCTGATGCCCTCTTTTGACCTCTGCAGGCATTGCATAACATGAGTGCACTTACGCACATACAGGCAATACACTCATACACATAAAATAAAAATATAATAAATAATTTTTAAAAAATTACAGATTAGGTACAATTGGCAATGACAGTAATGATCTGTTCTCCTCCCAGGGATAAGCAAGAGCTAACAGAGGTTTTATTGAGCAAGAAAGGGAAAAGTTAAAGTGTTCTAAGGAAAATGTTTAACCTCCTGAAGCTCAAACTGGAAACAAATGGTCAAAATTTATCAGACTGGGCTGGGAGTGAGGTTCAGTGGTAGAGCACTGCCTGATCTGCAGCACCACAAATTATCATAAGCAACCTTTACTCCAAGTGTTTCTACTATGCTCAGAGATGCACTCACAATAATCTCATTGAATCTCTCTAAATCTGCTAACAGCATTATCATTTATAACATTAATATTCAGAACGGTCTCCAACATATTCAGCATTTGCTGGATTCCTCTAATAAATTTAACATCATATATCACAGCTGGAATAGGACTGTGGAAGAACGCACCCATGCCTGGCAGCCACAAAGTTAACACTCAGCAGGTTTCCTTATGTCTAGTCTTGAGCACATCAGAAGTGTATCCATTTCAAAATGGAAATAATAAAAGGATGACAGATTTTTTTTGTGATAATTCTGGCTAAAATTTACATTTTAGGAACATGTTAGAAACAGTAACTGCCAAGGTCTGAACCTTAATGTTACCGTTTTAAAAAAATACCAAGATGTTTACTTTCTAAGGTTATCTGAACTTGAGACGACTTCTACATCACCTACAGTATAGTCTCACTTTAAAGGCAATTCTCCGTTTCTGGTATGCTGAAAGCGATATTAAGCCGTACACTAAGACAGAAATATGTGAAAATCATACTGTGCATGTCAATATAAAGGAGTATGTCAGTATAAGGAAGTAACACGTGGGGGCAGGGAATAGGAAATAAAAAAGTCCTCTTAAGAGCAAGAACTATGAGTTCATCAGTAAAAGAAGAAAAGGACGTAAGCGTTCCTTACTGATGTCAGAACCTTCGTACCGGCAACATTTCAGCCCAACAAACTCAGGCCACTTTCACTTCCTGGTTATTGCTTCCGGGGTTAACCTTAGCCCTCTCCTCCTGGGCCAGACTCTTTTGCAGATCAGTCTATCTTAAACTTCTGTCACAATGGATAAGTATGAAATGAAAAGGTGGAAAGGAAATTCTCAAACAACCATCATGCGCCAAACATATATGGAGCGGAAGTCCAGGACGAGGGCTTTCCTTGTAGGAGGGACGAAGAAAGCCTGAAGGGAAAGAACCACAGTGTCCAGGCGCTCCCTGCAAGGACTGCTGGGAATTGTAGTTTATCCTTCAGTAGGCCCTTCGATCCCACGCTTCGCTGTACCATCCACCCTGAACCGAAGGTGGCGCTTGTTACCTGCAAGCCCAGAAAAGAGATTCTTTCAGTTCTGATTTAACCATGAAAATTTTCAATGTGTTAGAGGTGAAATCAATCACAAGAATTTCTTTTTATATTTGAAACCTTAGGGCAATAGTTTCTGATTTATTTTTTGGAATGCAGGGAAGTGAACCTAGGAATCCATGCATGCTAGGCAAGAGCTCTACTTACTGAGAAGACCTGAGTTTTTCAAAATGAGAACCACTTTTTTCAACGTCCAAAAATTTAGGAGAACATGTTGCAAAAACTACATGTTATTCTCCTCTCCTAAACTACCCAAAGAAATTCTTTCATTATTTTGA